TTCCTTTGTCCTTCAGGGGTTTAGAGTTTAGGGAGTCCCTCACATGGTCCAATCATAGGGATTGCGGCAGGGATCCTAACCCTTACCCTCAAAGGACTCATATTTTAAGGCTTTCGGGCCCAAAGACCCTATTATATAAGGCTTTTGGGCGATGTTGATGCTAAAGGTATAGGTTTAACCCTCTTAACACGACAGCTACTGCACAACCCTCAGCGCCCAGCGCCACCTCACAAAATGCCAACACAAAGCCTGTCAACCCTGTGCAAGCTGCAGGGGGTCTACATACGATTCATACGCTTCTAGGGTAGGGTTGAGCTCGGTTTATTGCCCACTATACGTACAATCCTTTGCAAGCTTAACTCCTTATAAACCGTAAACCCCTAAACCCCTAACCCCTAAACCCCTAAACCCCTACACCCCTAAACCCCAAACCCCTAAACCCGTAACTTCGTAAACCCCTAAACCCCACACCCTAAACCCCTAAACCCCTAAAACCCCTAAACCCCTAAATCCAGAGACCCTCTAGGCACTGGAACCCTCGAAGCCTTGGTCCATCTCTTGATCTCCGGTGCCCTGGTGGAACCCCTAACTGCTGAAGCCCTGAAGGAACCCTAAACGGTTTAGAGCTTTGGGTTTAGGCCTTATGGTTGAGGGGTTTAGGGCAGTTTAGGGCTGTGGGTTTTGTGTTTGGGGGTTTAGGGTGTAGGGGGCCCTAAACCTTGAAAGCAAACCTCAAACCGTTGGTCCGTCTATTTTTTTCCCTACTTGGACACCCCATATTCTACTAGGCCCTTATACAATCTAGTAGTTGCTCTGTCTAAACTGGTGAATCCCAGAGACTCCAATATCCCTGAATTAAGGAACATACCTTAAATCTTATTAGGGTTCCTACAATAATTTAAGGCATATTCCTTAGTTAAGGGATTTTGGAGTCTCTGGGATCCCAGACGCCAAACTCTCAAGCCTAGGAAGCCCTACATCCTACGTGCGCCTGATTGCACAGTCCGCGAGGTCATCGCGCCCGTAGAAATATGAAAGGTTAAGCTCCTGAGACAGCGGGCTCAGGGGTTTAGGGGCTTAGGGTTTAGGGCTTGGGGGCTTAGAGATTTAGGGTTTAGAGTGTCTACCAAGAAAAAGGATCGTACTTATACTAGTCACTATCTGAGGATCCAAAAACCTACCGTTTTACGGGTTCTACCCTCGAATCAGGAGGGGGGGTTTACAGTTGCTGCCCTGTTCAGGCGTCTATACGATATAGACTCTAAAGCCCCAAACCCTTAAGCGTAAGGAGTTTAGGTTTCCACCCTACCTGGAGGGTCATACCCTACCCCTTTTTTAAGGTGCCTAGTTTTATGGTTCGGGTCGGTTATATAGAAAAGTAAGTATCCAAGAACAAGCATAAGCCCCTAAACCCCTAAACACTAAATGCCCTAAGCCCTAAACCCTAAACCCCATACCCTAAACCCTAAACTTGTAAGACCCCAAACCCTACGCCCGAAACCCCTAGACCCTAAACCCCTAAACAAGGGTAAGGTATGAGCCTACAGGCAATCCGGTCAGGGCTTACAAAAGGGCTCTACGGCCATAAACCCGCCTTCTTAGCCGGAGAAGACGGCCTCGGGTTCAGGGTTTAGGGGGTTTAGGGTTTACCTGTGACCCCAAACCCTACAAAATAGTAGGCTATGACCCCCTACAGTAATTAGAGGATAGAACCCTTAAAACGGTAGGTTTTTGGATCCCCAGGTAGGGTTTAGGGTATCATCCAGCCCTGCAAACTTACAACTGCAACCGCAACCTCCAAGCTCTCGGTTTAGGGTTTAGGGTTCTTAGTTTCCTGAGTTCATTAGCCCAACAAAGTGTACACTTCCAGTTTTATAGGGGGTTATATTATCCCAAAAAGTTTAAACTGCAGCCATTCAACCACTAAGGGCTTAAGGCGCTACTTAAAGCTTTCGGGGCTTTCAGCACCTCAGCGCATGAAGGCTTGCGCGTCGTCAGGGTCTATCTTAAGTGTAGTAACCCTAAACCCTTTTAAACCCTACAAACCCTATAAGCCCTAAACCCTAAAACCCAAACCCTAAACCCTAAACCCTAAACCCTAAACCCTAAAACCTAAACCCTAAACGCAAGCAAAAGCAGCCAAGCTCTGGGCGTTGACTTCTCAGGGCCCAAGAAGGGTATCAGCTTAGGGGCGTACCTTAAGTCATGATGGGGAGGATAAAAATTCCCTAAACCCTAAACCCTTAAACCCTAAATTTTAAACCCTAAGCCGTCTATGTCTGAGTTGAGGGGTTGATGGGGCTCCTTGGGCCTCGGAGTCTGTAGCATCGTCAGGCAGGGTCCCATGTACCCAAATAGTAATTAATTACATTGGCCTTAAAGTAGCCCCCTTTATAAGTACTTTGGGGCCATACTAATTTGGGTCCATGGACCCTTAGGGCAATGCTTCAGGAATCTGGCGCGTTTAGAGCTAAGTAGCTCAACCCTTAACCCTAAACCCTTAAGCCCTTTAGCGCCAAACCCTAAACCCTGGACCCTGAACCATCAACCCGGAATCCGAGATCATATCCAATAGGGTTCAAGAAGAACTTGTAGATTTGCAGAACCAAGAGTAACGCAGTGCTTGTAATGCGGAGAGTACGCATGACCCAATGGTCTTCTGTCAATAACCCTGAGCATTTTGAGCCCAAAAGCCTTTATAATAGGGTCTTTGGGCCCAAAACCCTTAAAATATGAGTCCTTTGAGGGTAAGAGTAACGCTTGCCAGACCATCGTGGGAGGAGAAACAGCATCCCAGCGGGGTTTGCAATCTATTCATCTAAGCCCAGAGACTCCAATATCCCTTAATCTCTGAATAAAACTTAAATCTTACCAGGGTTCCTATTATAATGGTATATTCCTGAAGTAAGGGATATTGGAGTCTCTGGGAACCAAAATTTCGCAACGCCTGCCCAGGCCCCGACTGAAGGGACGGCGAAAGCAGCAGGAGCATCCTGTTAGGAGTCATGAGCTTTTCGACGATGAGAGGTTCGAGATTTCAGGCTTTAAGGTTCATAGGCTATATAGGGTTTTAGGGTTTTAGTATTTTAGGGCTTTAGGGCTGCAGGGTTTTAGGGTTTTAGGGTTTAGAGTTTAGGGCTTTAGGGTTTAAGGCTTTAAGGTTTATAGGGTTTTAGAGTTAGGGTTTAGGACTTTGGGTTTAGGGCTTAAGTCCTGGCTTGGGATGTCTTCAGCAGATTATCTCTTTCGAAAGGAGGTGCCATGTGGGCGTACATTTTCCCCTAAGCCGTAATCCCTACCTGGACCCCTTCGGAACCTCCCCATTTTAGGGTTCCTTACTATGATTTCCCTATACAAGTCCTTAAAAAGGTAGGTCCTTTGGGGTCTAGGTAAACCCTACCCGTAACCGAAAAAGACCTACCCTTTTAAGGAACTATATATAGAAATCATAATAAGGAACCCCAAAAGGTAGGTCTTTCCGGCTATTGGTACTCCCTACACCCTAAAGCCACAGAAAGCCGCCTTACAAGCCCTAAACTCCCTAATTCCCCATATATCCGACTAAACCCTAAACCCTAATCCCTAAACCCTAAATTCTAAAACCCCCAAATCTGCGGCCTCCTTTGCAGCGCCCTCTTCGCCCTCTGCCATTGCACGGCCGGCCGGCGGGCGTTGGCGTTTCAACGTTCAACAACTTGAAATTATAGAGGGCCTTAAAGGGATCTATAAGGGTCTCTACAAGGGTCTCTATAGGGTTTAGGGTTTAGGGTTCAGGGTTGGGTGGGATCAGCACGTGTACTACTTGGTTTTCCTGCCTCTGCTACTGCTGATTTCCTGCCTCCGTTCCTCAAAGATGAATATCTACGAGGCTTCTCGCCGCATAGACACCCAGATCGGTCTTATCTTGCCATGCTTCATGACTCAGTCGGGCTCCGACGATTTTGAGGACCAATGTTCGGTTTACCAGCAGAGTAACCGCCCCTGCAACCCAGACCCTTTAACCCTACACCAGAATCATAAAGACTCTAATGTTTATCCCAGGTTATGCACCTGTTGAAGGGGCCTCGTCGATTTCTGACTCAGAGTACAAGTGCACCCACTACACCAAACACCTTAAACAATATCTGGAATCTGGAGAAGGCATGAGCTGTCGAATTGCCATATTGGCTTCTCGGAAACTTGCAGAAACGCTATCGAAGCCAAGGAGCACATCGTTTTAGCTTCGCAGCTCATATCGAAAGCACAGGAAACTGAGGCAAATCAGAAAAGATGTTATCCTGAGCTTGATGCTGAGAAACTCCAAACCTGAATGTGGGAGCTTGCCTCAAGCAAGCAAGTGGCAAAGTAAATGTGCCATCTGCAGCAGATACAGGCATTATTCGCCTAGTTCAGTGCTAGGAAAGTTGTACCCTGCGCAGGGTTGTACAAGGGAACCGGCCTGCGGGCGGGCAAGAATGACCTTTCCACTTTTAGCCACCCCGGGTTGCAAAACTTGTTGCACTGATGCCTCTCCATGACACTCTGGATCCCTTTCTGACCCAGGTCTGTTGGGCCAAAGGTTCCCTCAGCCGAGGAGCACACAGCCGGATCCGTGAAGATGACATCCATGTTGTTGAACTCCCTGAAGATCGCAAAGTACCATCTTGCGCCCACTTTCATGGTAGGAGAAATGGGACAGGGCCTGTGCTATCTGACTGCCTTCGCTTGTGGAGCTGTCTTACCAGCCGGTGTTGCTGTTGAAGTTTTTGTACTCACCCTCTATGTAAGGTTCAATCAAACTCTTGTGAGGATCACTCTCGGACAGATGGGTCCATACTGATGGCCTATTCAAATGAAGCTGATGTCGAAGTTTCTTTCTGACATGTAAATCCTCTCCAAACTTGGACAGAAAAGTCTGTGCCCGGGCTACAACCTCCAGGTCTTTGGCGAAGGCGTCGTCACGGTAGACGGCGCCTGTCTTGAAGACTTTCTTCACACAGCTATCTCCTTTGCGGCTGCCATCGATGTACACTGCCTTGTACACAATCCGCTCGGCTCCAGTTGCAAGCGGCTTGCTGTGGTCAGCGTTAGCCCGGGTTGCCCCAGCATTGTCCACCTTAATATTGCTTCGCGTGTCATTCGATGGAAGGCTCGCACTCTCATCATCCGACTCCAACTCGTCTAACGAAAGAGAAGTGTTGGACAGTGACTGGCTGAAAGAACCCACCGGAAGCGGGTACGTGGTGGACTGACGGTCCCTGCCGATGGCGTAGCCCTCAGGACCAGACACCGTGATGACCCAGCCGTCGGTCTTGGTGCTGTGTTTCTTTTTCCACTCGCCCTTGTGCAGGTCCCCCATAGCGAGAACTTGTACCTACCAGGGATAGAACCGAACCCCTGAGACGCGGAAGCCGCTTGGAAACAAACCCACGACTTCAGAATCGCCTCCTGCCGCTCCGCTCATAGTATTTCTCTACGAAATTAAAGGGATGACCACCAAGCTTGCTGGCCCAACTACTTCCTGCACATCGTTGTTCCTACTTAGACCCATCACACATTTGCAATGATTGTGTTGCTTTGTTAATCTTTGTTACGTTTGTAATCTCTTGTGATACCACACTGTAGCCAGTCTTAAGACAGCGCGGCCTTCACCACCTTGGCATGACCGGTCATCTCCAACAGCCGGAAGACTGCCAGCCGACGATTGTCCACGGAGTACACCTTTCCTGAGTCAGCGCTTCGCACTTCGTACCAGAGAACATCAGCAGCAGCAGCAGCGGCAGCAGCAACACTCATAGGAAGAAGCATTGACTTGTAGCAGTTTTGAAATACATGCGGCAGCATTCGGTGTCAGGGCAATCTGGGCCATAGTTTTTTTACTTGAGCAACGCCCCCGCCGTCGCGTCAACCACATCCACGTGCATCCTCATCATCATCATCATCATCATCAGCGGTAGCAGCAGAAACAACATCGGCATTGTCACCAGCATCATCACCATCAGCATCATCATCAAACAACTCATCATCATCATCATCATCATCACCATCATCACCTCCATCACCATCATCACCGTCATCAGCATCATCATCACCATCGCCGCCACTATCATCACCATCACAATTACCATCTTCACAATCACCGTTATCATCGCCATCATCACCATCATCATTTTCAGAAACATCACCATCCCCACCACCATCATCATCATTGTCCTCATCAGCACCGTCCTCATCATCATCATCATCAGCAGCAGCATCAGCGTCTTGAACCGCCTCCTCATCAGTAGTTGAAGCTATCATGCTCGACCCATTTCTAACTATAGTAAGTGCAGCTATCATAACAGCCGTTGCTACGACACTAGGTGACTACTGTACTATGATGACGACGGCGCCGGCGGCGACGGCCGCCGACGATGACTAGCCATGCGACTACACCTCTAAAACTACTACGACTACTTTAGTTCTTAGGTCCACACCCCTCCCAACTTCCCCAGCCCCCCCCCCCCTTGCGAGAGAAGCAGTTCGTCCGGCCATCAACTAAAAGCATGTAGACGACTACTACTAGTACGACGACGACGACGACTACTGCTACCACCAATGCTACTGTACTAGATAACTTGTAAAGAAGCCAACAACACTGATCAACATACTGCCTTGAAAACATGACTGCCTCGTAGCAACCAACAACTCTTACATCTTCGGCTATGCGGCTATGGGAGCCATCATGGAACCGGTGGAACAAATAGAATGCAGGATGAATCTGATGATCATCAGCCTGTGCACCATCACAATGGTTGCAAACAACAGCAATAACAACTGCAGGAAGAAGCCATCAAGACCATCGGCCAGGCCATACCTAAGCTGCATCAAGGTCGACAACAAGCGTGGCCGGTGCGACGTGAGAACAGCGACAAAAGTGTGAACACGATGATGCTCATGGAGCATGGCAATGCAAGCAACTGTTCACAGCTACATGCCGTGTACTAGTGGTGACGAACGGCTGGCCTAAGGAATTCTGGTATGATAGAGGATGAAAGTTGTCTACATCAACACTGGACCCAGGCGCCGCCCGCACTGTCATCTTCCACAATCCGTATCATGGGGGTGTCTTTCTTGTGAATCTCACCTGACCAGCTATGGGAGTCGCCAGAGGGCCTGGGTGGGTTGGGGCGGCATCGAATCTTGTCGACTTTGCAATGAGTATGCATTCGCTTAACTCAGAATCCCTAGGATGTTAATGTTGCCGAGGAAGGAGCACAATGTCGCGCACATGTTCTGAAGCGGCTACGGTTTAGGGTGTCAGGGTTTCGGGGTTTAGGGTTTAAAAATTTCGGTTTAGGGGTTCAGGGGTGAAGGATGGTGTAGGGACTTCGGGCTTGAGGTTTAATGGCTTTTAAGGGTTTCGGGTGCAGGGCTTAGGGCTTGGGTCCTATAGATCAGAAGGATGGCAGGCTTTGACATGTCATCAAGGACCGCACAGGTTTCACCGGAGCACAACCCAGCACCCGCGCCTGAGAGGATGCGCTTCGCTGTTTCACCGATAGACACATCTCCGTGGCCGTGGCGGTCACTGAAGGTTGGGCTGCATTTCTGCTGTGTGAAGCGGATCTCGCTGGGACGGAGGAAGAGGAACAAATCCTGCGAGTCGTCCTTGCCTGGGCACATGAAGCCCGTCTTGCGAAGGCTGTTCCTTGCCTGGGCCTTCAGCAAGTTCCGCTCTGCTTCCCTGAGGCCAAGGTAGGACTGCTCCATGAAGAGTTGCCCTGCCAGGTCAGAGTTATTCAATCCTCGAGCCAGTAATGTGAGCACTCGGCCGAACGACATGTGAAAGCCTTGGCCCTTCGCCAATTCCTGAGTAGCTGCCAAGCAAGCCAGCTCAAGATGCATAGACTTCACCCATCTGAGACGATTGGCATCTTGGGTCGCCCCGGCTTTCTCAAGCTTCTCCAGCATCTGTTTCTTCCAGAACTTGGTCAGCAGGATGAGCTCCCTTATGTGGTGCCCTTCTGCGGAGAGTCTTTCATACTCTGCAACCAGCTTGTCGTCGTTTTGAAGGCTGTAGTAGGCACGGAAAGCCAGGGTGTGGTCGTTCCACTTGGCCTCGTACTGTAGGGGCCTTGTTTATGAGAATAGGGAATAACAAACCAAATTCCCGACTGCGAAATGCCAAGCATTATCGAGGACAAAGCAAGCCATGTCTGAGTCTGTTCAGGTAGCTCGTTGCAAGCTTCGCTGCGGTGACTCACTGTAGGGTTGCTTAGGTATCAAGATTCGATGGCATCCAACCTCTCATGTGGACGGTGTTTCGTGCATACTGGGCCGTCATGGTATAGCGGCCGACATGTGACAGTCGTGGAGCACATCCCAATTCACCGACGGTGAAGGGATTACTCGTAACATGAATGCTGCTGGGCACATCGCTCTTCTAGTCTGCTTTGACAAGCCATCGTACAATGGGGGCCTTGGTAACTAGAACAGGGATTTGGGGTACATTATACCATATGTACAACGAGGAACCCTAAGGCATAATGGGTCACCTCTTTGAGAACAAATTTAGCTTCTATAAATGTTAACTCAACCGGCCACCCGGCCTGGTCGGCGTCGAAGTGTGAACTCTCAAGTTGCTGCTTGCTGCCGGCACTCTTCGCAGAGGTGAACACGAGGTCTACGGGAAGCTTCACAGCTCCGACGATCACAATCAACTTCAAAATGTGCTGACCTTCCTGGAGGACACGAACTCCTTCGGATGATAGTTGAAGCCTGGCCTGCTGCTTCAGGAGATTCAGAGACCCCCAGTCCTGTTCTCGAAGTTCCACCCGCATGTTCACGTCAAACTCGCCCCCCGACACAGCCGTCCCTCGCCGCATCGACCCGGTCAAGTCAACCCGGCTTGCTTGGACGTGGCAGCAGCGCTGGATGACCCTCCTCATTCGAAGGGTGTTGGATTCCTATGCGCACTTAAATGTGGGAGAGCGGAAAACGTCAACTTCTGATTCTGGAGCTTCGGTTTCGGCAAGTAGGATTCAAGTTTCGTTTCGGAGATGAGTCTGTCCTGATGCGATTGACTGCGTCTTCTGCGGCAGATTTCTCGATCTTCGTCAGGACAAGCCGCTGCTGGACATCTGCCAATGACATTGCAGTTGCCTCCATCCTGCCTCCTTCGATTATTCAGAGCACTGTGACTGTGACCTCCACCCCATGCTCCGAAACGAAAGCCCCTACTCACCGTAGTTTCGAGACCAGGAGGCAGGGATTCTATAACTCTTCCATCCCCTTGAGGATGCCTTGGTAAGGATTTTACAACATGCTTCACTGTGGCCCCAAACCCTGCAAAATAGTAGGTTGTGACCCCTTGATTGGAGGGTAGAACCCTTAAAGCGGTGGGCTTTTGCATCCCCATGTCAAGTATCGCCAATGCCTCCCACGTCACACCAACCGTCTGCAAGAATCTCCTCGGAGTATGGGCCTGACGTAAGTTTCACTGCCTTTGATTGAAAAGCGCTTATATAAACCCCAAACCCCTGGCATCTTTTCCGTAACTTGCAATGACAGCTCCCCGTAGCCCCAAATCCGATAAACGGGCTGGTTAAAAAAAACCGAGGCTGGAACCCCAAGAACCATAAGCTGTTGGATTGCCAGCTTGGGTTTCCACGGCGAGAAAAGGCAGGGTTTCAACATTTTTGGGGCCTGGCAGTTTGAACATTTTGAGGGTTCAAGCCCCACGCAAGGCCCCCTGAACTACAGTACCACAAGGCCAACCAGCCTTCTTATCAAAATGCCTCGAGCACGAGCACAGCATCCAGCTTGTACAGCACTGCAACTGAAGAATAACAAACAACATCCCTGACGAAGCCTGCCAGCACGATTGACTATGGATGAATGAGTGGAGCTATCAGGAAGGAATCGAGCCAAAACTTGCGAAGCCATGCACAAGGTGTCCAGGGAGAGAGTGGGGCTAAGAACAACACCATACCATGTTGGTGCGGTGGTAACTTCACAGTAGGGCGTACTTTGCTTCTCACTTTTCAGCATCAGGACCCATGGTTTCAAGAAAGATGCCTGTGCGACACATGGAACCACGTGGCAACCGCCAATGCGCCCTCATGTCGCTACACTGTTTTGCTGGTTCCGGCCTAAACCCAAAAAGCCCCCAACCCCAAACCCTAAACCCCTAAACCGCCTAAACCCTGAGCCTTAATTCGGCCCGCTTTTTTTGAATTTCGCACCCCTTCCCTCTGCGACGAGAGCGGTGGGCATAAGATAACGCTTGCAGCAGCGCATCCTAGAAGCCCGCAACTACGGAAACAGTGGGCCATGGTTGCTCCGCATACGTAAACTACCACAGTAACCCTAAGCCCTACCCATAGGCTCCTAAGTAGTTTCTTTTTATGGTTCATATCTAGAACCCTATAAGGTAATCCCAAACCCTAAACCCTAAACCCTAAACCCTAAACCCTAATCCCAAAAGGAACTACTTAGGGGCCCATGGGTAAACGCAACGCCCTTTAAGCCTGAACTCCTGGACCGTAGACCTTCGACTCCTTAAGCCGGGTTTAGGGTTTAGGGTTNNTACTGCCGCTGCGCGGCGAGACGCCTTAAACCCTAAACCCGAAACCCTAAACCTAAACCTTAAACCCTAAACCCTAAACCCTAAAAGTAACCCTAAGCCATCTATCTCCCAAGCTCCTACCACGTAAAAGCTTCCCGATCATTAGGGGGTACCTTTTTCAAGGATCCTTCATTAACGGTTTAGGGTTTAGGGTTTAGGGTTTAGGGGTTTAGGGTTTAGGGTTTAGGGTTGAGCATACTTTGGAACAGTCCCCCATGTGAGTCCACAGGGCTATATAATATATAGAGCGAGATGTTTTCGATGTATACGCATATCATATGATATATTTGTATATGTAGGTACACGCGTGCCTACAGCTTATCCAAACATATAGTGCTACCTTCACCAGATTACCTGGCTCTTCTGACCTTATGACCCTACATACGAAGTCTCCCCATCATCGAATTGGTGGATTTCCCTAAACCCTAAACCCCAACCCAAAGGCCCCAAAGCTGTAAGAGCTCGGTTCTGCATGCTAGAGGGTCTAGTGCACAGCTCAGGGCTTACAGCCTTACGGGATAGGGCTTAACGCTTCGGGCTGACAGGTACCCTAAACCCCAACCCCCAAACCCTCAACTAAACCCCAAAGCCTAAACCCACAACCCTAAAGCCCAAACCCTCTAGGGTTTAGGATTATGGTGTAGTTGCTGGCCAGGATTGCTCTGAACTGCAAGCAGGAACCGCTAGTCGCATGAGCAGCTCGCCTGAGTCAGTGCCCCCTTGGTTTCTGGCTTCGGGCTCCTAGGGGCTTAGGGCGTTTCGGGTGTAGGGTTTAAGGTTTGGGAAATTTGGGTTTGGGGTTTGGGGTTTGGGGTTTAGGGTTTAGGGTTTAGGGTTTAGGGTTTAGGGTGTAGGGCTTGGGGCGTATGGGCTTCAGGGGTTGGGCTTTGCGCTTTAGGGTTTCCCACGCCTGGTGGGCAGCTACAAGGGAACACCGATGCAGTAAACCCTAAACCCTAAAGCCTGAACCCTAAACCCTGAACGCTAAACCTAAGCCCTAAACGCTAAAGAGCAAGCTGCCCAAGCGAGAGTGAAACGAAACTGCCAGCCGCAGGCCCGAACACGTCAATGGCCCTCTCGACCTTAAGGTATCCTGTTAAAAGGGCTCTTTTTAAGGGCCATTTAAGGGTGTCTATAGTCAGCTCTATTATATTGCTAAATTAGTAATGATACTGCTGAACCACCATAATACGACAACGCTTAGTTCCTTTAAGGGTGTGTTATAAACAGCTCTGTTATCTACTCGTTACTCGGAGCTTTCTGGTTTTCCACGTTTTGCTCAGGGGTCTCAGTGTTTGGAGTATAGGGCTTGCTTGAGCTTCTTGGAGCTTCTGGGCCTTGCAGCGCGAGACCTAGGGTTTAGGGTTTAGGGTTTACCCTAAGCCCGAAATTACAACACCCCCTAAACCCTAAACCCTAAACCCTAACCCCTAAACCCCTAATTAACCCTAAACCCTAAATAAACCTTAAACCCCTAAACCCCTAAACCCTAAACTCTAAAGCCCCAGTTTACAGCAGTAAAGCCTATAAAGCCCTAACCCCCCAAAAGCCTCGAGGACCTCTTTCAAAGCCTTACCCGAAGGCTCCATGTTATATAGTAGATACTTAGGCATTAAAGGGCTCCCTATATAGGCACTTTAAGGCCTAAGTATCTACTATATGGGTACATGGAGCCTTTGGGTTAAAGCTCAGCCTCCGGTTTCTTGGCCCTAAATCCTACACCCTACCTGTGGCCCAAAAGACCTACCTTCTTAAGGAACTGTGGTTTAGGGTGCAGGGTTTAGGGGGTTAGGGTTTAGGGCTTAGGGGTTAGGGTTTAGGGTTTAGGCTATAGGGATACTTTTCGGCTAGAGGTAGTGGAAAGTGGCCGCGTGCACTGCGCTGTACACATCTCACCAGCCTTTGCCCGGGCTTTTGCCGCCTTTCCAGCCTGTCGCAGGTTTTGAGTTTAGCATCCCTAAGCCCTAACCCCCTTACCCCCTAACTAAACCCCTAAACCCAAAACCCCAAAAGAGTACAGGGTTTTTAATGGTTTCGAGCTTACGGTCTTGGGGATGCCTGGGGTGTAAGGTTTGCGAGGGGTTTAGGGTTTAGGGTGTGGGGTCGAGGGTGTACCCAGAGCAACCAAGCCAACCTGAAACGGGAACTGCACGCTTTCTTGGGGGGTCATATCTGTTTTTTACAAGGCAGACTGGTTCCTCTCCAGCTAGGAATTACAGCGTAGAGGTTTAGGTTTAAGAGTTTAGGGTTTTAGGGTTTAGGGTTTGGAGATTGACAGTTCATACCTCAAGGGTCTGGGGGGTAGGGCGGGTTCAGGGTTCCATAAGCAAGCCTGACTGGCGCTCGAAGCCACGGGCTCTGAAAAGAGACCCTCTGTGACGACCCTGGCAGGCAGCCTTAGTCCCGAACCTCGGAGCAATGATAACCTTAACCCCGACCCAATTAGCTTTTTAAGGACTTATAATGAAATCTTAATAGGGAGCCCTAAAAAGGTAGGTTCGTGAGGGTCCAGGAAATCCCCACGCAGCCTCCTTTGTAGCCGCCTTTGCCGCCTGCCGACAGCGAGAGATGAGACTTTCCGAAAATTAGGGGTCCCTTATTTTGGGGTCCTTACAATAAGGATCCTACGATTTAGGGTACCGTAATTAGGGTCCCCTACTTTCGGAAACCCCCCCAAATGGCTTATATAGGAGCCTTCGTCTGTCCAGTTCCCGTGGGGGTTTTTCATGCTTAACCTCTGGGTTCCCCTAACCCTAGACCCTACACCCTACTAAACCCTAAACCCCAAACCCTAAAACCTTTTAAACCCTAAACCGCAAACCTTAAAACCTTCTACACCCTAAACCCTAAACCGCACCCTGAGGCCGGGACGTAGCTGCCACTAACCCTAAACCCTAAACCCTAAACCCTAAACCCTAAACCCCTAAACCCCTAAACCCTAACATTACGAAAACTTCCAAGTCTACAGCCCGCACGTACCGAAGCCTGAGACCGACAGGTCAGAAACTCAGCGGTTTAGGGTTTAGGGGTTTAGGGGTTTAGGGTTTAGGGTTTAGGGTTTAGGGTTTATAGGGTTTAGGGTTTAGGGTTTTCAGAAACCCAGCTGCGTAATCACAGCTCTTAGCGGGTCCAAGTAGTTGCAAACTGGATTTGGGCCTAAATCAAACACTCCGCAAGTTTTTTGATGCCAACAGCCTCTCCAAGACCCCACTATTTTGGGGTTTTGGACCCCTGGCGAACGATTGCACAAGTCTTCTCCCTTGTTGAGCAAGTCTTGCAAAGCAAATACCACAAGCTCAGGGGATGAAGGCCGAAGTCTATGCTGTATACCTTTTTGAGCTTTCTTGATGTAGGGTATAGGGTTTAGGGTTTAAGGCCTTATGTATGCTTTATACCTTTTTGAGTTTTCTTGATGTGGGGTATAGGGTTTCGGGCCTTAGGCTTTAGGGTTTAGGGCCTTAGGATTTAGGGTTTAGGGCTTACGCTTTAGGGTTTTGGGTTAACCTACCACCTACCATGGAAACCACCAAGCACTTGTCAA